AATGCGTTCATGTCCTGTGAGACAATGCATTAAAAAGAGAAAATACAGCTTGCCACGTCAAAGCAGCAGAGGTTCTCAAATGTCTGATTAAAGCTGTCCCAAATTAGCAGTATGGTGGTTTGTGTCTGAAAAATAGTTTAATCTTCATACATTGCTGCACTGAAGATTACTTGGCTCGTGCCCCCCCCCCCAATGAAGGAACAACAAACAGCACCCAACGAACAGCTTCAGTTACGCCATTAAAAAAATAATAACCAGCAATTAACACTAGTTTTCACAAATTCAGATTTATTTATTGAGAAGATCGTTGCCTTTTAAAAACGCGCCCGTTACAGCCTGTATGATATCTTAAACATTTAACAATCTGCAGTGTTACATAGTTACGTAGCCGTTAAATGTTTGGCAAATTTAATCCCTTCAAAGATATGCCACGTCAGATTAACAATGCATATCAAATGACTGAAAAACAGTACACAAAAAAAACTATACTATTGCAAGTAATTAATGATACTAATTAAGTTGATATTAAACATACAATATAAAATACCGTACATCGAGAAATAATTTTTTAAAAAAACCTATATAATAACTTACAGCACGGAATCTTGAAATCTTTAATATTAGAGAGTTACAAATAGTAATCAACACAGACGGGTAAAAAAATTTTTAGTATGTCTTGTAGGGCTTCTGTAAGTCTGATAAGTCTCATTAAATTGTCTGCCGGTCACAGTCGTCAGTCGTACGTATAGTGAGTGAGTCAGAACCCACCAGAATAGAAAGAGCAAAGATTCAATGTAGACCCATATGAAAACGTAAACAAACTTTTCCCAATCAAGGGAAGTGGGGAGGGGGGTTGGGGGGAAGGAGAGGTGGAGTTAATTGATGACGTCAGCAACAAACACAAAAAAAAAAAAACAACAAAGGAGAGAGGCAAAGATGCAGAAGACCACGCCCCGTGGTAAACAAAATAAAAACCTGGTCGACACACGGGCTTTAACAACAGAGTCATTGTTTCGTTCACCACAAACCCGGTCATTGATTGTTCTCAAAATGACTCTAGGCCTGTGGGTTTTATTTGATATAACTCAACCGACTATCAAGCCAATACATTTAGAATTTTTTTCTTCGTGTCCATATTTATAAATTTCTTTTTCTTCTTCCCCCCAAAAAGAAAGTCCATTTACATAATCTGGATCAAACAAAATGGCAAAGTTCGACCACCCTCGACAATGAAATAATGGACAAAACAGCAAACAATTTCGAACCCCCCCCCCCGCTCACCAACATCACATCCGGTCTAAACTCATAGTGACTCAATTACATAATCTGGATCAAACAAAATGGCAAAGTTCGACCACCCTCGACAATGAAATAATGGACAAAACAGCAAACAATTTCGAACCCCCCCCCCCCGCTCACCAACATCACATCCGGTCTAAACTCATAGTGACTCAAGTATTTTAGGTGTCCCTAGTGTTATCTGACAATCCCGAGGAACCCTCCTGGTTCGGACGTTATCGTCTGCCGGACCCAATCAATACATTTCTACCAGAATGCGGAGATAGCTTTGATCACTTTCTCGTCTGCTTCGCTCTCAAATGAATTAGAAGACACGGGAATCTTGGAAGGAAAAAAATTGAATTTTGTGTGTTCGTTGGGTCAGCTCAATTTCGATATTGTCTTTCTGCGTGAAGGCTAATGTATTGGTTTGAAATGTTCGAATAACAAAACAAATAGGTGGACCGATTTAAAAACAAAAAAAAATATTATAAAGTAGTACGAAATTATCCAAAGTGTTACAAAATTTTTGAGTTTTTAAGACTAACAAAATGGAGTATTTTGCAGCACACAAACATTAAAAAGTTATCCATGTTTAAAATTCATGTTGCTGGATAATTTTTTCTAATAATAATCTTTGAAGTGAGAGTGTTAGCGTGCAAATAAATCGTTAAAGTAGATTAATTAGATACAAAAGGGTGTGTACGTAAACTAATGTATGTTCCTGGGAGTAAGCAGGTGGTAAAAACAAAGACGGTGAGAAAACCAAAAAAAAAAAAAAAAGGGGGGGGGGAGGGCAGGGGAAAAAAACAAAAAAAAAGACGGTGAAAAAAACAAAAAAAAAAAAAAAGGGGGGGGGGAAGACGGTGGTAAAACAAAGAAGGTGGGAAAACAAAGACGGTGGAAAAACAAAGACGATGGAAAACAAAGACGTTAGGAAAACAAAGACGATGGGAAAACAAAGAAAGTTGGGACGGTGGGAAAACAAATACGGTGGGAAAACATATAATGGAAAAACAAAGATGGTTGGAAAACAAAGATGGTTGGAAAACAAAGACGGTGGGAAAACATAGACGATGGGAAAACAAAGACGGTGGGAAAACATAGACGATGGAAAACCAAGACGGTTGGAAAACAAAGATGGTTGGAAAAAAAGAAGGTGGGAAAACAAAGACGGTGGGAAAACATAGACGATGGGAAAACAAAGACGGTTGGAAAACATAGACGATGGGAAAACAAAGAAAGTTGGGAAAACAAAGACGGTGGGAAAACAAAGAAGGTGTATGTGGACTTTTCTCACAAAAAGAAAAATGATGTCAAATATAACAAGACAATCACTTGTATCTATGACTGATGGCTCAAGAGGACGAGGGAGATACAAAAACACAAGGAGAAGAGAGGAGGACAAAGATTTAGCAAAGACTGGAACGAATCAGAGATGGTTGCTCGGGACTGGACGGCTTGGAAATAAATTGTTAATGGCCTATGCTCTACGGACAGTTGAAAGAAATTGTTAATGGCCTATGGTCCACTGGATATTGAAATAAATTATAAATGACCTATTCTCTACTGGGGTTTGAAAAGACATGTTGAGGACTTATGTTCTACTTGGAGTTAACAGAATTTGTTGATGACCTACGCTCCACTGAGATTTGAAAGAAATTGTTAATGACCTATGCTATACTGACAGTTGAAAGAAATTGTTAATGACCTATGCTATACTGACAGTTGAAAGAAATTGTTAATGACCTACTCTATACTGACAGTTGAAAGAAATTGTTAATGACCTATGCTATACTGACAGTTGAAAGAAATTGTTAATGACCTACTCTATACTGACAGTTGAAAGAAATTGTTAATGACCTATGCTATACTGACAGTTGAAAGAAATTGTTAATGACCTATGCTATACTGACAGTTGAAAGAAATTGTTAATGACCTATGCTATACTGACAGTTGAAAGAAATTGTTAATGACCTATGCTATACTGACAGTTGAAAGAAATTGTTAATGACCTTTGCTATACTAACAGTTGAAAGACATTGTTAATGACCTATGCTATACTGACAGTTGAAAGAAATTGTTGATAGCATAATGCTCTTCCAAGGGTTGTAAAGCCATAAAAAAGAAGAAGAGCATTCTTGGCTCTCAAAATAATTAAAATAATTTTACTACAAATTATCAAGATGAACTCATTCCAGCACTAATCTATGGCATGTTTCTGACATTTAATAATGACCAGTTGTCTTTTTTTTTTTTAAAATATGACCAGCGAGCTTCCTTGCATTTGATCAGTCACACCATACTAATGACCGTGCTGATATTCGACCATCGAACTCTCGGATTTGACCACCAGCTAATGCGAGCTAATCGTTGAAAAAGCAAACCGTTGACCAGCGGTCACTCGAAATAATGACCAGCGGTCTTTATACATGCTACCACCTACTGACCTACCTGCTAACCTCCGCAAAAACTCTTGAACGCTGAGGGACAGTCAGATCATGACGACACATTCTGCATTAATCAATGTTAGGTCATCTAACAAATAAAATAACAAAACATTCCGTTTGACGATCGCATTAAAAAAAACCCGCTTCAATACAGTTGATACATATATAAATATATACCATGGTATATATAGTTCGGGCACCATCAAAACGATACAACTTGCTCTTGGCTGCTGGCAGTAAATATATTTTTGAAAACCTAGTATAGGTCTGAACCCATCAATAGGATACAACTTGCTGCCCGGCTCGTAGTCAAGATGTCTAGATCGTCCGGCCGCGTTCACCCGCTCAGAGCCGCCGACGTGCGAATCTCAGACGGACACTTGGCCAAAGTGGCCTGGACAGACAAGATGGCGACCGGACGAGGCAAAAGGACGAGTGGTGGTTTGGGGGGGGGGGTATTATTTAATCTTCCGCGTCCTGTCCAGTTCTGCATTGATTCCTTGTAGACCAGTATCCGTGTGTCACCGGAGCCCGGCCGTGGCGTGAATAGAATCTTGACCTGTTTAGTGAGGAGATAGATAGTTATGAGATAGATAGTTAGGAGATAGATAGTTGAACACGACGGAGACTCAGCTGCATTGACGTATGCTCACCAAAAATAGAGAAGAATGTTTCTTTTTTTTTTTTTTTTTTTTTTTGCCTCATAGGAAATACGAAAGAATACGAATTTTGACTTATCTGAAAATATCAAAGGGAGAAATTTCTCCTTTGATAAATATAATTAATCTTAAAACCTCAACATCACACATTTCTTCTTCTTATAATATGGTATTACGGGGTATATTAATTTCAAACTATTTGATTTTTAATATATATATATATATATATATATATATATATATATATATATATATATATGAATTAAATTCAAGGCTTAATTGGCTTAATCTCTGAAATTAAGTATTCACTTTTAAATTCATATGTTCTAAAAAGTGAGGTTGAGGTATTATTGAGTTTTTACTACGTATATTTGTAAACGTTTTTTTTTTTTTTTTAATGTCAGAAAAATGTATACGAGACGTAAGACTGTACAATGTGCAAAGTAAGGTTTCCTTTCAGTAGAAAATATATACTTGACAATGGTGTCCCAGATCACATCCTCATTCAGGCCCGGTTAACTTTCCTTTTTATTTATTTTTTAATGTAAAGGGTTATGGGCCTTTCTGTTCCAGTGTTCCGATTGGTTCAGTGAACTTTTTTTAAATTTTTAGTGTAGACTTCACACTAACTTGCATTTTAAAACCATGAATTATTATGTACCAGAAAACGATTGTTTGATCTATTAACATTGAACAAAAATGATGATCATTGATTAAAAGAAAAGTTTTGTAAGCCTGCTCAGTTGGCATTGATGTATGAGTGAGGGCTTTGACGGGAAGAATGTCATTGTATGTTCTGTGGTTGTCGCGCTACCAGTTCCTAAATCATTTAGTAAATGCATGCCATTTTATCAGACATGTTCCTTGAAAAATGATCGTTAAAAAAAAAAAAGAAGAACACGGGAATGTTAACCGATGTGATAACTCAGATGGTTACAACCCTCTTCTTCAAGTAAAGAAAATTGTTTTTCGGAGTGTGTGGAAGGAAAGAGGGAAAGAGGGGGTGAAGGGGGGGGGTTTCAGAAAGCTAAAAGAAATGATTTTCAAATAAGTTAATTACGCTTGTGTGTACAAGATCTACGAGCTGTCATTAGAAGTTATGTCATTGTCAATGTCACTGTTATGTCATTGTTGTGTCACTGACATGTCACTGTTATGTCATTGTTATGTCATTGTTATGTCACTGTTATGTCATTGTCATGTCATTGTTATGTCACTGTTATACAATTGTTCTATGTCACTGTAATGTCATTGTTTATGTAACTGTTATGTCATAATTATGCCATTTTTATGTCATTTACATAATCTCCGACCATTTTTAGATACGGTACTTAACAATGTTTTTTTTTTCCCTTGAATATAAATCTTGAAAATCGATGCCCCAGTAACGCAGCTTCTGTACGACGTTCCCAGTGAATGCCGCTGACGAATTCACGTCATGGTCAGTGCGCACGTCATGGTCAATGGACTCCATAGTTAATGGGCACCATAGTCAATGCGCACCATAGTCAATGCGTACCATAGTCAATGTGCACCATAGTCAATGCGCACCATAGTCAATGCGCACCATAGTCAATGTGCACCATAGTCAATGCGCACCATAGTCAATGCGCACCATTGTCAATGTGCACCATAGTCAATGCGCACCATAGTCAATGCGCACCATAGTCAATGCGCACCATAGTCAATGCGCACCATAGTCAATGTGCACCATAGTCAATGCGCACCATAGTCAATGTGCACCATAGTCAATGCGCACCAAGCTGGATGTTAACTTTATACATTTTTTTTTGTTGCCATGGCATTTTCTTTGTTTTGTTTGTGGTGTAATCTTGCATCCCAGTTTCGACCATCTTCCCGAGGTCCAGTTGAGCTGAAAATTGTACACTTACCCAACCACCACCATCCCCATGACCATATATAAAAAACTCTAATGTTCAATGCGTCACATTTGACCTCTTATCATCCTTGAGGGATCCCTATCTTGCAATCTTAATCTGGACCCACTTCGTGGAGTCTAAAATGAGCTGAAACTTAGTACACCAGTGACCTCCACTGACCCTTAAGTGACCTTAAGATATCTCGTGAACTTTAAGTGATAAGAACATCGGGTTTCCCCGTCAGCGTTTCCCTATGCATGGTTGACCGTTCCCGATATCAATCAACGATGAGAGATCAAACTTTTTGCCGCGGAAAGGTCGCCACTGACTAAAAGAAAAAGCTTGAGATGCCCAGAAATACAATGACGTCTTGTGACTTGAAGAATACAACTTCGTACGGTAAGACGTGTGTACAAGATTCTCCCAGCGATCGTGATCTCGACTAGCGGAATGAAATTAGCGATACCGTTGCGTGCGTGTCTTTGCGATCTGTTAAGACCATTGAGTTCATGGGCGACCCAATTAAAAAAAAAAAAAAAATTATAAAAACATTTTTTTAATAGACACATAACTGTAAAACCTCTGAACCTATGGGGGGAAATTTGCTTAATAAACCTTAGTTCATTTTGGGAAAAGCGTGTTTTCTATAAAGTATTTCTTAGAATGTATTTTCCAGGAAGTATTTTTTAAAAGTACTGTATTATTTGTAATATTTTTCTTAATTTTTCACAAGGTATCGGTGAGCGAAAATTGTCGGCGCTTGTGGTGACATTCTCCAAGTCTCTAAATATTTACTGAGATACATTCTGTTGGAATAACACATACGAATAAATGTACCAAATGTTAGTGTTAGGATATTTTGGAAATGGGCCAGGTGTCTACGCGTGAAACTGTGTCTAAAACTGTCTTTTCTCCTTTCTACCCCCCCCACCCACCCTCTGTCACCCCCACCTCAACCCACTCCCCACTTTGGTTGTCCCGTTAAAACGATCAGCTCTAATTGGCAGGGGAAGAATTGGAAAAGGAAATGTCCCCGTCCCCCCGCTCCCATGTCGTTACGGCACTCAGCTCCTCAGCAAAACAGCATTACCCCACCCCACCTTCTTTCATGTCGAGTCGCACCTCATCAGGGGCGCGACGGCCCTCCTTCATCTGCCCACTCACGTCAACCGTCTGTGAGGCCGGTCCCCCACCTCTCAGGCCAGAGGAGGTGAGGGCAGTGGTCAAGGGAAGAACTCTCAGCCCACACTCCAAGCCGAGACATGCTTCATGGAGACCCGCTTCCTGCCTTCTCGGGGACCTCTTGTCTATTAGCTCGAGATTAGTACTCCTGGGTTCAAAGGGCCTTCTTTCTGAGGTGAGGGCGCCTGTGACGAAGATTGTTGAGGAAAGAATTGAAAATTTTAAAAAAGAAAAATAATAATAATTAGAAGATAATGAGCAGTTGGATAGGAAATACCTTATTGCAGGCGCGGGGGGTGGGGTGGTGGAGAGAATGTTTTTTTAGACGTGATTGGACTCGCTTTCTTTCTCTCTCTCTATACTTCCCGCTCTGATTACTTCACTGTCCCAGTTTCTCGCTTCGTTTCTTAATATTTCTTCCTCCCTTTCTCCTTTTGTCACGCGCTCTCTCTCTCTCTCTCCATCCACCTCTCCCCTGTTTCCCCCCCTCAGTCTCCACTCTTACCTCCCTCTCTCCCCTCCACTCACTCCCCTCTCTCCCCTCATTCCTCTTTCGCGTTCTCCTGTCCACACTCTCCCTTCACTCCTCTCCTCTGCCTCTATCTCCCATCGCTCCCTCTCCTCTCTCTATCCAACGAAATGGCACGATTCAACTATCTAGACATTTTGTAGAACAAAGTCAGACACAATCATCATTTTATGGTCGGGAAATGATCACGCATTTTTCTCTGGTGAGCGCAATGTCAGGCGTAATAATTTACGGCCTGTGCTAGCTACGTCATAAAATTCACTTATCAAGGATAAAAACACACATATTTTTATCTTTAAATACATAAGGGACGATTGGGATTTCGATATGTTTTAAGCTATCTCAGTAATGTCCTTTATCATTTCATATCAATGCACATATTCTATTTTCGTATTATTGATCATATTATCTTTTCATATTGTTGCACATATTCTTTTTCTTATCAATGCAGATATTCTGTTTTCGTATTATTGATCATATTCTCGTTTCTTATCAATGCACAAATTCTCTGTTACGCACTGACTTGTATTGGGAGAAATCAAGCTCCCATTTTAAATGTATGGCTCATTCAAACAGTTCCTAACAAAGGACGATACTATAGAAAATAAAATAACAAAAGTACGACACCCAAAACAGTACCAATTACAATTAATAAGATTTAATTTAGCAATAATACAATTATAAACAAAAGAAATATAATTACAAATCATCAGCTTTCAGAGTATGGTAGAACTGGTACCGGTACACAATTAGTACAATGTGCCAATGAATGAAGAATGCAAATAAACACAAATAAGCATACAAAGAATGATACACGTCTCGTTGGGTTAAAAATATCTATCAATCTATCTGAATCTCTCTGAATCTCCGACCCTCTGTGCCTGTCAATCCTTTATATATGTGGGTCTACCGACGCTCCTAGAAACGCCTTTACTTTTCCAGAACAGATCGAGAACCTTCCCTAAGACGCAAGTATGCATACTAACCATACGTCAGTTGTAAACAAGATACATCAAAGAGAATTTAAACCACTCCCACAACAAACGCTGCCGTCTGCTACGAGATCTAATTTAGGTCAAAGCAAAGTTCACGCACGGGGATTGTGTGCTACATAACATTCTCTTTTCGTATTATTGATCATATTCTCTTTTCATATCAATGCAAATATTCTCTTTCGTATTTTCGTTGTTATTAAAGTAAATATTTAACAAATGTATGATATTTATATTTCGCTATGATAACAGAGAGAGCTCCAAGACGCTACGCACCTCGGTAAGCCACCTTAGGTTGTGACCGCGTAGATAGCTCGGATGTCGGCCTGTTAATAAAAAAATAAATAAGACATCATGACACGCTATAACAGGATTGTGTAAAAACTCACAGTAACGTACACACTTTGGGGTGTACTGGTTATAAGCACAGCTCGCTATAAAAGGCATGATGTTAATGTACTGGGTGTGATGCTACCTTGTACTGTACTGGGTGTGATGCTACCTTGTACTGTACTGGGTGTGATGCTACCTTGTACTGTACTGGGTGTGATGCTACCTTGTACTGTACTGGGTGTGATGCTACCTTGTACTGTACTGGGTGTGATGCTACCTTGTACTGTACTGGGTGTGATGCTACCTTGTACTGTACTGGGTGTGATGCTGCCTTTTACTGTACTGGGTGTGATGCTACCTTGTACTGTACCGGGTGTGATGCTACCTTTTACTGTACTGTGATAGTTGATATCTTGTATTGTACTCGGTGTGATGCTATCTAGTACTGAACTAGGTGTGATGATACCTTGTACGGCACTGGGTGTAAAACTATCTTGTACTGTACTTGGTGTGATGCTACCTTGTACTGTACTAGGATAGTTGCTATCTTGTATTGTACTGAGTGTGATGCTATCACGTATGTACTGGGTGTGATGCTATCTTGTGCTGTACTGGGTGTGATGATAACTTGCTCTATACTGAATTCGATGCCACAAATTGAACAGTACTCGGTGCGATGCCATCTAGTACTGAACTGGGTGTGACGATACCTGGTACGGCACTGGGTGTAAATCTATCTTGTCCTGCACTGGGTATGACACTACCGTGTACTCTTCTGAGTGTGATGCTACCTTGCACTAAGCGCCCTTTATTGACCAGCCAGGCATTGCTACCGTCGATAGCTTAAAGTCGTCCCGTATGGTCAGAGGAAACAGGTCCTAAACACAAGATGGAACCACGCTGACGTCTCATTGCCTTGATTTCCTTTGCACTGGCGAAAGATTAGAGCGTTTCAAGTTCCAAGAACTCTTTCTTGATCAAAGCTTGATAATTGTATTGTTACGCCTGATGTGCCCGATTTGCGGAGCGTTAATTTGTTCAAAAGCGTTAGTGTGTTCGCTACTGCGCTAGATTTTCGTTCACTTCTTATGTTTTAAAAAATTGCTTGTGAAAACATCGTATAAAATCCACCAGCTTAAGCGAATTAATCTTAAATCAATGAATCACCTCTTTTGTTAACAAATTTCGTCTGTTTTGTTCACAAATTTCATCTTTTCTTTTCACAAATGTGTCCGACTTTAAAAAAAAAAATTGTTGTTGTCGTTTATAGTTTAATTGGAGTAAAAGTTAACAACGCACACTCCGCATCACATAGTCTGCGGGTCTCATACTAGGCTACCGTTTCGTCCCAGCAACTTTGTGACGTATTCACGAGTTGGAAAAACATGTGTAGAAAACCTGTTAGAGGACGTCTGACGCTACCCTCGGGGTGTGAAAGTGGGGGTGTATATTTTAGGACGCAATATATCCAACCCCAGTCATTGCAGGTGTTGCGAGAGAAGGACTAGCAACCGACCACGGGCTCTTTGGTTAATGTTGCCCCCACTTGCATGGTCGATCGGGTGAAAGGCAGATGAGGGGATGTCTCAGCGGCCGAGTGATTGCGACGTGCAGCTTCGCGGCCCGAATTTTACCTTTTTCGTGTTGGTTAGTGTCTACTGACCTATAAATCCACGGCTTACTGATTTTCTTCATGAAATTACATCATTCCGCGGGGATCGGGGTAGATCATGTTTGATAAATTTACATTTTGAAAGGGGAAATATTCAGAACCTTTTTCAGGTGCGAGTTTCATTAAAAGTCAAATGTCTCCACTGCAAGTACTGTACATTTTATATCGCTTTGTTTCACCAGTTAAACATAGAAATATTTTAGTTTTATAGTAAGGTTGGCTTATAGGCTGGTTGGCTGGTTTTTTTGTATGGGTTTTATTTGGTGAGTGGGGGTATTTTTCAGACGCTCGGTAACAGATGCAATTTTTGTTTCCATTTGACGTTTCCCTGGATCATGTCCAATCCGGGGGAAAACCTCTCACGGGCTGCGAATTTCCATATGGGACGTAAACACGTCATCAACCCCTCGTAACTTATATTATTATCTCCGCCAAATGATTTATTAACGGGCTTGATAAAGAAGAGTCGGCTACTGAGGACCTTTCGGTATTGAGAGTATGCCGCCACGGAAATAGCGATGGCTCTTCGTCTTATATTTGAGGGCCCCCACGGTCAGTTCGTTGACCATTCTGGCTTCTGGTTTTGAAGTCATTTGCCTTCTCTTTAGATGGGTTGCCGTCCAAATGCTAACCGGGTCCCATCCACCCGGGGTGCTTTGGGTGTTGACTTTGATGGGGATTGAACTCCAGATCACCTGATATTTGGTTTGAGTCAGTTTCGACCGCTCGGCAACCCAGCACCCGTGGTTACTCTATGGCAGGGGTCACCAAACCTTTTTTTTTTTTTTACACATTGGGGCGGAAAACTGACTTAATGACGAGCACGGGGCCGCGCCTGGGAGCCGGGGGAGGTGCGGTGGGTGTGTGTGCGTTGCCATGATAACCATGGAAACCACGGTAACATCAGACCTTTTTTTTTTTTTTACACATTGGGGCGGAAAACTGACTTAATGACGAGCACGGGGCCGCGCCTGGGAGCCGGGAGAGATGCGGTGTGTGTGTGTGCGTTGCCATGATAACCATGGAAACCACGGTAACATCAGAGCCTTTGCGGAACTACAACGAGCCTGGGGAATGACTTGGGATGACGCGAAATGAGCTAACGTTATAACAAGAAACAAGAAAAATCTAGAAACTGTAATTTAAAATTAACAACTGTTAAGTTTAAGGCGCATTCCAATGCCGTCGGCGGGCCTGATGAACTGACGTCGTGGGCCAGATCCGAGCCGCGAGCGGTAGTTTGGTGACCTTGCTCTATTGCGCGGGTGTGCGTGAATTCAACCCGTACACAGAGCGCACACAGCAACAAAGAAGGAGTCGCACATTTAAAAAAGAAAAATGAATGTCCACATTAACTTCATCTCCATTCTTTCGATTTTGCTAAAATAACCCAAATATGTCTGAACCTATTGATCTCTCAAATTTGTATTAAATCTTGAATAGAAATTTAACAAAACTGTGCTTTAAGAATTTCATTTTATAAGAAAGGTTAAAATTTTCTTCAGAGACCATGAGATAAGTACATTTCTTTTTTAAAACCCGTCGAAACAACTCAAATTAGGACGTGGTCCAGACTTCCAGGGAGTCTAAAGATCACTTTAAAATGGGCCCCTGACCTGGGTGGGGTAAGCAGCCTGATGAAAACCAGGTATTAACCCCCCACACCCTGTGTGAGAGCCTGGAGGTCAAGGTTAATTAGTTATTTTAATCCGTACCATCAGACCCGGAGTTATCTTGGGGGTTGTAAGATAATAAGTATCACATGCCATGGGTTTGATACGACCCTAAACGAAAACACCGACGTAGCTGTACCCTGATAGATGACGGTCTGAGAGATGATAGATCGTCCTTGGCTTTATAGTTTGTCGTAAGTAAGTTGGCAGACTAATGGCAACTTGACGTGACAAATGTCCGATACCATTTCGATATAAAATTGTAAAGTATCGATACGTTTTGATACACTTAATAGATAGGTAAGATTCGATATTCATAATTGAAAGAACCACATACTATATGGATAAATTTGCTGCATTTAGTTGACATAGTTGCTAGTTGTTGTTTGTGTGTGTGTGTGTGTTTTTTATCATCTTAAATTGAAATTAAATTCTTCAAGCTGAATTGAGGCGGACCTCTTTTTTAACCAATTTTTTAAATAACCAACAATGTAGAAACCCGCATCAACTACATAACCGAGACCCACCAAACTAGGAGACCCACACATACCACACGTCGAGACCAACACACTAGGAGACCCACACATACCACATACCCAGACCCACCAAAGTATTAGACCCCAATCCCCCAAACCATGTACCAAGCACAATCAAAGATGATCCCATACTCTTGTAAACCAACATCCTGAGAAGACCTAGCAATGTAGAAGACCTTCATTCCTCCTCGAAACCCTATTCTCCAAACGATCAAGGTAGAAGACACCCCCCCACCCCCACAATCCCCATTTCGAGAACCACCGATCGCCCAATCGTGCGACCTCCTCCCCACATGCCGCGAAAAAACAAAAAGCCGGCTGCTTGAAATTTAAAGGGGCAGAACGAAGAAGGGAAAACAAAAATATGAGCGTTTAGTAAAACATCGGTCGAGGATTAATGTCCCCTGCTTTGTCAATCTCATTTCGCGGGAATATTTCAATTGTGGCTCGACATTCCCAAAGATTACATTGATGGAGAAGTTTTCCGCCCCCCCCCCAAAGCGTCTGACCGCATAATCCGCAGATGTAATTGCATAACGTGATTACTTGGGTCATAAAATCAGTCACCGGCTGGCGAAGGAATATGGATTTCTTTCATAATGAAGATTCCCCACTCCCATCCCCCCATACAGGCCGGAATAATTTTGGGGCCTCCTTTTTCCCCCATCTAGATGAGATAATTGCATATTATCTACTCATAATGTCATCCTAATGCAAACAATATTGTTGTGTTCCTTGTTCTGTGGTAATGAAATATGTTTTGTTCAAAACCCAATCGGGAGACGATGGAATATTTTTCAAGTCATGGGAAGATGTATACCTTTTGTGTCCAGTCATAGGAAAGTGTATACCGTTTTGTCCAGTCATAGGAAAATATATACCTTTTGTGTCTAGTCATAGGAAAATGCATACCTTTTGTGTCTAGTCATAGGAAAGTGTATACCTTTTTTTGTCTAGTCATAGGAATAAGTACACCTTTTTTTTACTAGTCCTAGGAAAATGTATACCTTTTTGTCTCGTCATAATAACATGTATACCTTCATTTTCTAGTTATAGGAATACGTTTCGCTTTTCTGTCCAGTCCTAGGATTATGTATACCTTTTTTGGCTTTCGGCACTCTAGCCGCCCCCAGATGTGTAACATTTTATTGAATCAATCTACTAGGTTTGATTATATCTCTAGCCGAAGGAGTACTTGCGACCATGAATTCAGTTTTCGTAAGACGTAATTTAAAAAAAAAATGCGAATGATAATCTGTACAAGGCTTTGAAAATGAGTCATCTCCGAGTAAAAACGATTTATATGCCATAAACTATTTGTTGTATTTAGCTTAGCTAAAAAATATGCGAGGGATCTTTCACCTGCAGGGGAATGAATAAAATCCACATACATATGTCAGCCCACGGATACGCAAATTGGTATCCCATTCTACAAATATTTTCATTATGCAATAGGATCCAGATCAAAACCGGTTTGCAGCTACAAAAAAAAAAAAAAAAAAAAAAAAAAAAAAACCGGTTAAAAAAAAAAAAAAAAAAAAAAAAAAAAAAAAAAAAAAAATCTCATGAACTATTTCTCAAAGTATTCAATCTAGTGCTAACAGACTATCACTACCTGCATTTTAAACAAGTAACTAGTTATCAAATATTTAGATATAGCCCGTCAAACATTGGCGACAGCAATGCCTGAACTTCCCATCTACTAAAGTTACTTGACAAAAACGTGGACTCCATTTTGTAACAAAATGGATGCGAGCCCCCCCTGCACAACACACAAATAAGAATGGCATCCCACATATGCCAAGTTACGACAGCACATATCAACCATTTGTCTCTAATTTACATATTTTCTTCAAAAATTATTAGGCGACCACCACCAGCCCACACCCCATTTAAAAAAAACAAAACAATGACTTTAACACAACAACCATAAAAATAAAAAAAACAAAAAAATGGATTTCGCTGTAAGTTTGTTGCAGACATTGTCCAAAGATGAGAGTTTTTTTTTTTTTTTTTTTTTTTTATACATCCATTTTTTTTTTTTTTTTTTTTTTTTTTTACAACGCACATAGCTTATTCTTGTCTGTTATGAACTCTTGAAGTCATCTGCCCACATCCTTCCCTCGCTGTAGCCTTACACCCACAAACACCACTCCAAAACCTAGATTTTTGTTTGTTTTGTTTATCATCAGCACATTTATTCCAGTGTATTTGGGCAGTCATTCATTAGCCGCACAAGCTGTTCCTACTGGTGTTATGCGGGCACGCCATTGGCCACTTCGCTGGGCTGTGTTTAAATCGCTCTTTACTGGAGAGATAATCTCCGCATACGTGGGAGGGTGCTCTTAGTGGACTGCTTCTTTACTGCGCTCTCAAATCCACCCTCTTAGATCGCTTGGCCTCCTCCTTAGGTCGAAGAACTTTTTAATACAAAGTATTGTAAAAAAAATTTTTTTTAAATCTTCGAAAACGACTTAAAAGAGTTGACTACAAACATTCATTATTCATTCATTCATTATTTTCTGGTATTTAAAAATCTTGATGAAAATGACCTTATCAAACTGGATGTTGAAAATGACCTTAGCAAACTGGATTTTGAAAATTAGCTTAGCAAACTTGATTATGAAAATGACCTTAGCAAAGTGGATGATGAAAATGGCTTTTCCTTACTGTTTATTTGTTGAGGATTCAAATTGGTGCTATGCAATGTTTTTGCAATTTACGTACGCAATTAGATAGTACAGTGGCATTACGTAAGCACCCGACAAAACGGTTAATCAATACACCCAACGACCCGCCCACTGACCAAAAGCCCACTATGGGCGTACATCTTGCTCAGTGGTCAAGAGCCCACCAGCGACCAAAAGCCCACTATTCACCAACAGCTCCTTATGGGTCTAAGAGCCCAACTGGTACCAAACAGCTCACCCTGATAACCTCAGTACCGGTCCAAAACGTGTCTAACTGTCCACCTGTAAAAACGAGCCTGACAGTAACTATGGCCAACTAGTAGCCAACAGCCAGATAGTACCAAACAGCAAACCAGTAACTAATATACCCCCAGAGACTAATAGCAAACCAGTGACTAATATACCCCCAGAGACTAATAGCAAACCAGTGACTAATATACCCCCAGGGACTAATAGCAAACCAGTGACTAATATACCCCCAGAGACTAATAGCAAACCAGTGACTAATATACCCCCTGAGACTAATAGTAAACCAGTGACTAATATACCCCCAGAGACTAATAGCAAACCAGTGACTAATATACCCCCAGAGACTAAGAGCAAACCATTAACTAATATACCTCAAAGACTAATAGCAAACAAGTAACTAATATACCTTCAGAGACTAATAGCAAACCAGTAACTAATATACCTTCAGAGACTAATAGCAAACCAGTAACTAATATACCTTCAGAGACTAATAGCAAACCAGTAACTAATATACCTCCAGAGACTAATAGCAAACCAGTAACTAAATATACCTCCAGAGACTAATAGCAAACCAGTAACTAATATACCTCCAGAGATTAATAGCAAACCAGTAACTACTATACCTCCAGAGACTAATAGCAAACCAGTAACTAATAGTCCTTTAGAGACTAATAGCAAACCAGTAACTAATATACCTCCAGAGACTAACAGCAAACCAGTAACTAATATACCTCCAGAGACTAATAGCAAACCAGTAACTAATATACCTCCAGAGACTAATAGCAAACCAGTAACTAATATACCTTCAGAGACTAATAGCAAACCAGTAACTAATATACCTCCAGAGACTAATAGCAAACCAGTAACTAATAGTCCTCCAGAGACTAATAGCAAACCAGTAACTAATATACTTCCAAAGACTAATAAAAAACCAGTAACTAATAGTCCTCCAAAGAGTAATAGCAAACCAGTAACTAATATACCTTCAGAGACTAATAGTAAACCAGTAACTAATAGTCCTCCAGAGACTAATAACAAACCAGTAACTAATATACCTCCAGAGAATAATAACAAACCAGTAACTAATAGTCCCCCAGAGACTAATAGCAAACCAGTAACTAATAGTCCTCCAGAGACTAATAGCAAACCAGTAACTAATATACCTCCAGAGACTAATAGCAAACCAGTAACTAATAGTCCTTCAGAGACTATTAGCAAACCAGTAACTAATATACCTTCAGAGACTAATAGCAAACCAGTAACTAATATACCACCAAAGACTAATAGAAAACATCAACTAATATACCCCCAGAGACTAATAGCAAACCAGTAACTAATATACCTCCGGAGACTAATAGCAAACCAGTAACTAATATACCCCAAGAGACTAATAGCAAACCAGTAACTAATATACCTCCAAAGACTAATAGCAAACCAGTAACTAATATACCTCCAGAGAATAATAGCAAACCAGTAACTAATATACCTCCAGAGACTAATAGCAAACCAGTAACTAATATACCTCCAGAGACTAATAGCAAACCAGTAACTAATATACCTTCAGAAACTAATAGGAAACCAGTAACTAATATACCTTCAGAAACTAATAGCAAACCAGTAACTAATATAACACCAGAAACTAATAGCAAACCAGTAACTAATATACATTCAGAAACTAATAGCAAACCAGTAACTAATATACCTTCAGAGACTAATAGCAAACCAGTAACTAATAGTCCTTTAGAGACTAATAGCAAACCAGTAACTAATATAACACCAGAGACTAATAGCAAACCAGTAACTAATATACCTTCAGAGACTAATAGCAAACCAGTAACTAATATACCTCCAGAGACTAATAGCAAACCAGTAACTAATAGTCCTCCAGAGACTAATAGCAAACCAGTAACTAATATACTTCCAAAGACTAATAAAAAACCAGTAACTAATAGTCCTCCAAAGAGTAATAGCAAACCAGTAACTAATATACCTTCAGAGACTAATAGTAAACCAGTAACTAATAGTCCTCCAGAGACTAATAACAAACCAGTAACTAATATACCTCCAGAGAATAATAACAAACCAGTAACTAATAGTCCCCCAGAGACTAATAGCAAACCAGTAACTAATATACCTTCAGAAACTAATAGCAAACCAGTAACTAATATACCTTCAGAGACTAATAGCAAACCAGTAACTAATATACCTTCAGAGACTAATAGCAAACCAGTAACTAATAGTGCTCCAGAGACTAATAGCAAACCAGTAACTAATAGTCCTTTAGAGACTAATAGCAAACCAGTAACTAATAGTGCTCGAGAGACTAATAGCAAACCAGTAACTAATAGTCCTTTAGAGACTAATAGCAAACCAGTAACTAATATAACACCAGAGACTAATAGCAAACCAGTAACTAATATACCTTCAGAGACTAATAGCAAACCAGTAACTAATATACATCCAGAGACTAATAGCAAACTAGTACTAATAGTCCTCGAGAGACTAATAGCAAACCAGTAACTAATATACCTCCAGAGACTAATAGCAAACCAGTAACTAATAGTCCTCCAGAGACTAACAGCAAACCAGTAACTAATAGTCCTCCAGAGAGTAATAGCAAACCAGTAACTAATATAACACCAGAAACTAATAGCAAACCAGTAACTAATATACATTCAGAAACTAATAGCAAACCAGTAACTAATATACCTTCAGAGACTAATAGCAAACCAGTAACTAATAGTCCTTTAGAGACTAATAGCAAACCAGTAACTAATATAACACCAGAGACTAATAGCAAACCAGTAACTAATATACCTTCAGAGACTAATAGCAAACCAGTAACTAATATACCTCCAGAGACTAATAGCAAACTAGTAACTAATTGTCCTCGAGAGACTAATAGCAAACTAGTAACTAATATACCTCCAGAGACTAATAGCAAACCAGTAACTAATAGTCCTCCAGAGACTAACAGCAAACCAGTAACTAATAGTCCTCCAGAGACTAACAGCAAACCAGTAACTAATAGTCCTCCAGAGACTAATAGCAAACCAGTAACTAATAGTCCTCCAGAGACTAACAGCAAACCAGTAACTAATAGTCCTCCAGAGACTAATAGCAAACCAGTAACTAATATACCTTCAGAGACTAATAGCAAACCAGTAACTAATAGTCCTCCAGAGACTAACAGCCAGTCAGTACCTAATAGTCCACCAGCACCTGAGAGCTCACCAGTAAGTAACAGCCCACCAGTACCTCACGGCCTAGCGGTACCTCACGGCCCACCAGTACCTAAAAGCCCACCGGTACTTAACAGCCCACCAATACCTCACGGCCCACCGATACTTAACATCCCTCCACTACCTAACAGACACCAGCCTTTGGACAAACGAACCAACCAGCCAACCTTTCTCTAAACATCTTGTATCAAAACCCCTAAATGAGAAAATCCCCCCGCATGTGATGAGTAGTGAAACGCAATCTCAGCCTCATCATGGCGCCCCGATGGCGTCATTAACAACCGCGTAACGATGTAATAAGCCGGACACAAACGGTTAGGTAAACTGGGAGCAAAAAAAAAAACAAAAAAAATATGGTAGCTGTTTTGACAGCGAAAATCGGTCGACCCTGTAATGGGATATCGCTGAAACAAAGTAATTAAACCCCAGTTCTATTGAGGGCGACCATCACAAACGGGGGGCAACACAATTTCTTTCGAAGCATTAGCCTGCAAAACACTTGTTAGTTTATAGCGAATTGAAATTAATTTTGAAATCAAGCTATGTTTTTAAAAGGTATCATCTGTTTCAAATTTCGTTTGAGTAAAAGTATGTATGGAAGTTATATTAAAGTATTTATGTCTTTATTTATTGAAAGTTAGTTTTTAGCAAGACTTTATGTATAGATTAAAACATATTTTGTTTAAAAGTCTAGAAACTAAGTTTTTCGTATAAATTCATTATAAAGTGTAATATCGAGCAATTGGGTTGGGGGGCGGAAAGAGGGAGGGGGGGGGGGGCGGGAAAAATTGACCAAACAAAGGGAACAGGAAAAGCAGTTTAAAAGATTCCAAATAAGACCAACCCGCAGGGTTAAACCCGGGAAAAAAAAATGAGTTTTTCGTATAAATTCATTATAAAGTGTAATATCGAGCAATTGGGTTGGGGGGCGGAAAGAGGGAGGGGGGGGGGGCTGGAAAAAATTGACAAAACAAGGGTACAAGTAAAGCAGTTTATAAGAATCCCAATTAGTACCAGCCGCAAGGTTTAAACCGGGAAAAAAAAATTGTTTACGCCGCTGAACTATATTTTTATTCTAATGACCCACCCACTTTTACACCGCAGATTTATTTCACCATCTACTTCAGAAAGAAACAAAAGAAAATACTACGCACCAAACAGACTTGAAATATTTGTTCGAAGAATCTCATTTGGCGCAGTTATCGGGAATTTCATTTCGTGAAATCAGTGGCATAATCGTTTCCTTCATCTCCCCCCCCCCCCCCCCCCAAATAAAAAAAAGGAAAAAAACCGTTTTTATTTTTGGCGGGGGGGGAGGGGGTGGGGGGTTGGGGCTGACAATTTGTTCGAGTGTGTTGTCATCGGCGACGAGTCTACGTGTCGAGCAGGCTTGACGTGAAGTGGCTCAATTTCGCCAGCCACCCCCGCCACGAATAAAGAGAGAAATTAATGTAAAGAATATCATAAATGAAGTTCCATTGCTCAGAGGCGCGCCCTCGTGGAGGTACAACTATCAATCAATGAGTGAAAGTGGCGCGCCATGGCCCCACGATCCCCTTTCCAAACCGCTGTCATCAAACGGGGAACGAACTCTGACCTGTTGTAATTTTGAAAACCTCCAACACGTCGTTGTATTGCTTTGGTCTTTTTTTTTTTTCTTTTTTTTTTTTTACAACCTTCGAATACAATCCTTGTTGTAAAAATGTTACTGTTTTAAAAAAAAAAAGAAAAAGAAAATTTTTGTTTTTTTTTTTTTTTTTTTCTTTTTTTTTTTTTTTTTTTTTTTTTTTTTTTTAAATTATAAATCTCAGGATACGATGAAACAAATGGATGGAAAGTAAATTTTGCTTATAAAAAGGAAGTAATAAGTTAATTCGAAGATTTCAGGAGCCTACGATAATTCAGTAAGGGATTGTTTATATCTGAAATCAACACTGATCCCCCCTCCCGACCCCCCGACCCCCCACACCCACCATATAACAACCTCTTATACGCCTATCCCTTACGCCAGGGCCGTCTTAAGAACATAGGGGGCCGTGGAAACAGCCATGCACTGGGGCCCCCCGCAACACAACACACCAGGTCATTAGAAAAGTGGGGGGGGAGCGAAGTGGGGCACTCACCCCATGCTCAAACATTGGGGGGGGGGTGTCACAAACAGTTGTTGCTCCCAGCCCAAATCATCAAGAGGAATAAAATTGTAAATAAGAAATGACATTCAATAAAGATAAAAATAGGTTAATTCAACTTATTTATGCAAAAAACAAAATCATTCCAATTCAATAATGTTTTTAAAACATCAGAAATACATTCTAATTCATCCCAGATGATGATAAATTATCAGGTTCTCCATTTGATTACTTAGTCTTTCTGCCTCACGCCTCGTTTTTACTTTTCCTGATCAGTGTCAGCTGATACAGAGTCCAGAGCATCTTGTATTTTTTTCGAAACGTTGACGGCATCAAAATGTGCCGACCATCTTGTATCAGACAGTTGCTTTACGACAACGAGAGATTTTCCTAAGGAAGATACCAGAAGATACCAGAACATTCCATCGATGTGTAGAAAGCTGAGAAACGGGTATATAAACGCTGAAGAAAGTCAAAACATTGTCCAACGTGTAGACAACACTCTGCTGCTTTTGAGCCCACTAAGCTCAGACTGTGTCCAGCACAAGGGACATACACGGCAAACTCGTTCAATTGACCCAGCCGTGCTTGCAATCTAGTGTAGCGTCCATAGGCATATAAAGTTAAAGCCTCGTCATATGATTGACCACGAAAAATTGAAGGCGGAATTTCGTTCTCATTCAGGAAATCCAAAACATTGTCTGCTAGATCCTTTGATACAAAACAGTGTCTGTTAGACCCTTTGCTCCATGGGAAAATATGGAAATTAACTTGATAAAACGTTCCACAGACTTACATCCTCGAATATCCCGGACTGTAAATGTCAGTTGATCATTGTTTGAAATGTCTGAAGTGGAATCGTAACTTATTGAATAATATTTTGACTCTGTAATTTCCTCCAGAATAGGACAAAGGACATGTTGCCCCATTAGATCAATAAATTATTGTCAAATATTTGCCGGCAGATACGATGTGTTACCCTTTCCAGCATTTCCATTATAGTTTGAGATGCTTCCAAAAAAAGGGATTACATTCACTCAACAGCTCTAAAATATCTTAAAAAATGTCCATTGCTTACTGACCCCAATAGCTTGACCCAAACCTCTGGAGGCAAGAAAGCAAACGCCATAAACCCCACGAGTCAGAACTTGATGCCAGAACTTCTGTTTTGACTTATGGTCTTTGATAAATAAAGGACCTAAACACCTAGCTTCTTTCAGCCGAAGCAAACATGCGGTCAGATCCTTGCAATGCACTACTCAATTTTTATGTTCTACAATAATATAGTTATGTTTCCAATAATTGAATCCTGATAGAGCAAATGGACATACTTTTTTTGCACAATAGACGATACGCCAAACAATACAAACAACCTTGGTATGGTGAAGAGAGAAGCCAATCGAGTTTTACGCACTCGCCATTCCGCAGTTCACGTTTGAATATATTTCTTGATAAATAACGTTTCTGAATTCTTTCATCTCCAGCTCTGCCGGAGTTTGAAAGGTTGCAGTCATGATTCTGACAAAATGATGGCCCACGGCGAATCCAGTACTCAACTGTACAAGTGTTCTTAATATTCCATAGCCCGGGGTCTGTGAGGTGAATCACACTCTCGTTTTCTGACACAGTTTTGTGTGTTTCAGTTTTTATAATTTCCCCAGCAGAGGGAATAGGTAATGGTATTGTCTGGTACTAGATGGCTGGATCCATTTGAGGATGTAGATGACGCTACTTTTTTTTGAGGAGCAGTATTAGTCACTGATATTTCGATTGGGTTTAACCAAAATGTTAATTTTGCACGTTTACCCGTTTTCCTTGTCTCCTCAGCTCTTTTTCTCTTCTGTGCTCCAATTATAAAACTATTTTTTTTAAATTTCCGCTTAAAAGGTTTAACACCTGGAAATATATTCTTTGTTTACAAGTATTTCTTTAGTAAAAGCAAACATCAGTTTAAAATGGATTTTTCTGTCCCTTCAGACTGACGTGTTCCCCGCTACAAACGAACATCGGGAAATGATCAATAGCCATGGTGCAATTTAATAAAATCGATCTCTGTATTTGAGCTACCCAGTATGTAGAAAAAAAATGACTTAGAGCTTTATACAGTGAGCACAATTATGTCTAAATGCCTATATATGTCTGCCTACAGCTAAGCCATACGGTGACTGTTTGGTTCTATTTATCATCTAAATATGTTTTGCAGACACAGAATACAAAATATTTTTCAGTTTTAAAAATATAAAGTAATTTGTTTCGTTTTTTAAAAAATAAATTTACTTTTAAAAAGAATTATTCATTGGCGACCTAAAAATTCCTTATATAATGCTAATTAAATTCAGTAGTACTTGAACTGGTGCTAGGATAGATTTTTATCCACTAATTTCACTACGGAACAGTGGCTATCCAGGGTTATTACCGCACGGGGCAAACATTTTTGTCTAACTTGATCGTAAACAAATGCTCTAACTTTATCATTTTGTTCGATTCATATCTGGGAGAAATAAAACCTGTGGACGAGAGTTATTCCCCTTTAAAAGTTTTAAAAACTATCCAACTTGTGATTCGCATTTATAATATTAATTTTGGAACGTGCCGATAATGTCGTCGGTCAAAAGTGGGAAACATGCTGTCCACTGATTTTTAAATCAAATTTAATTTCCAAAACTTCTCAATATTCATTAACAATATTTGCAACATGAAGCCTTTATAAGAGTGAGTCTCCTAGAAGCAAGAGGCCCCCAGGAAGCGTGGGGCCCTGGGCAAGTGCCTACTGTGCCCATGCCTTAAGATGGCACTGCCTTACGCCCCACCATCATATCACGTCTTAAGCCCCCCCAATCCCCTCCAACAAAACACCCAGCCACCGCCTTACATCCCCCTCCCACCCACCATTTACAACAGCCACCTCTTTTGGCAACACCCCAAATAATTATTTTTAATTTTTTTTTTTTAAATAGCAATACACACACACACACACATACACACACACACACAACGAAAAAGCCAAAACAAGCAAAAAAAAAACTCAGGAATCTAAAAAAAAAAAAACTAATGGACAAAATTTAAAAAAACAAAAAAAAAAAAAAAAAAAAAAAAAAAATTATTTTTAATTTTTTTTTTTTAAATAGCAATACACACACACACACATACACACACACACACAACGAAAAAGCCAAAACAAGCAAAAAAAAAACTCAGGAATCTAAAAAAAAAACATCTATTGGACAGATTTTATAAACACACAATAAATATACAAAAGTAATAAAAAGTAATTTTTAAAAAAATATTAAAATAGTTAGATTTTAGCAAATTTAGTCAAAGTACATATTATATGATGTGTATGCTAGTTAATGGGGTTTTTAAATTTTATTTATGATTATTATTAAACATTTTTCTTTTGTTTCGTTGTTTTGTTTGTTTCTTTCTTGCTGTTAATTTCTTTGAATCTTTGAATCGCGTTCTTTAATTCAATTTCGCAGAGAAGAGACTTATTATAATTTTTTTTTGCCATCTAAAGATTTCTAGGAATTTGAGATAAACAACCAGACAGACAACTTATGTAAAACTTGTGTGTGCGTGTGTGTGCGTGTGTGTGTGTCGCGAAAGGTGACCACGTTTTCAGTGGATGTGGTTAAAAAAAAAAACTGTGGGAAGCCAGACGATATAATGATCCGGTAGTCACATGTGTAAAGCTGTTAAAAATTGTGGGGGGGCTATGGTACAGATCTAGCAGTTCGAATTCCATAAAGAAGATGTAGCTATTTCAATTTTTAAAAAAAAAATATGTATCATTTTCATATTAATAGAATTTTTTATTTTTTTTTAAGATCCCATTGTTTTTTTCTATTTTATTCTCCCACACGTCTTTTTTTGTTTGTCTTTTTTCTTTTTTGGTTGTTGTTATTTTGTTTGTTTGTTTGTTTTTAGTTGTTGTTTTGTTTTTTTTTGGGGGGGGGCGTTGTAAAGTTGTGGATGGGGTGGATTACATTACCATTATTTCCCATTATGTTTAGTGTGTGTGTTTCATGCAGGTTTATAGTGTTAAATGTGATAAATGGTGGGGGGGGCGTTAAAAAAAAGGGGGGGGGTTGTTTCAATTCAGTGTTAGATAGGGGGGGGCGTTGTAAAGTTGTGGATGGGGTGGATTACATTACCATTATTTCCCATTATGTTTAGTGTGTGTGTTTCATGCAGGTTTATAGTGTTAAATGTGATAAATGGTGGGGGGGGCTTTAAAAAAAAGGGGGGGGGTTGTTTCAATTCAGTGTTTTTTTTTCTACTGCGTTGTAAAATTAAATTTCGCTTTGCTCATCCTCATGCCGAAGGATAACATGTACGTATTGGCTACCATCCCTTACAGCCAGATAACATCGGGATAGTGCTTGCTATTTGAGAATCAATACTTTACTTTGATCTTGGATGGCAACTCATCTAAGAAAAGGAAACTCAATTCAAACCCGGATTCGGAGTCCCGTAGGCGGATAACATTGACACGATGAAACATTCCAACTCCTTCGACACCCCTGGTGCCCAAAGTCTACCTACCTACGTCTACCTACCTTCCGACTATCTACCTATCTACGTCTACCTACCTTCCGTCTACCTACCTTCCGTCTACCTATCTACGCCTACCTATTTTCCGTCTACCTATTTACGTCTACCTAACTTTCGTCTATCAACCTTCCGTCCACCTATCTACGTCTACCTACCTTGCGTCCACCTATCTATGCCTACATACTTTCCGTCTACCTACCTTGCATCTACCTAAATTGCATCTACCTACCTTGCATCTAGCTAAATTGCATCTACCTAACTTGCATCTACCTTCATTCAGTCTACTAACCTTTCCACTACCAACCTTCCGTCTACCTATCTGCGTCTATCTACCTTCAATCTACCCATGTCTACCTACCTTACGTCTACATAACCTTCCGTCTACCCACATTGCGTCTACCGACCTTCCGTCTACCTACCCTCCGTCTACCTACCTTCCGTCTACCCACATTGCGTCTACCGACCTTCCGTCTACCTACCCCTCCGTCTACCTACCCTCCACCTACCCACATTGCGTCTACCTAATCTGGCTAGTACTGCGTCATATTTTAGATCACACAAACGTGTAAGAGTGAAACATAAATCCATACAATTATGTTGTCATCATCTTGAAATTGTATTTTCTTTGTTCCGACGGGAAGTGAATTTTAAAACGGAAATCACGAATTTCCACTTCAGCGCCTTGTGGGTAAAGAGCTACCGGACGTGACGAAATCATTTTCTGTCCAGGAATAGTGTCCATCTTGTCTTATTCACGGAAGGAATCTGCAAAATTATCATGGGAGTAGTTCAGAGTTAAAAAAAAAACACCAACAAATAAATGTTGCTTGTTTCTTTTGGAAAATTAAACTTCAAATACAAAGCCAAGGACATGTTGATATATTATCATTTTGCTATAGCTTAGGCTAGTGTCACTTAGGGAGTTTGTCTGTAGGCGAAAGTTATATCCTCGTCGGTGGCCAGTGTTCTGTGCATGTTGACAGAGAGGATTTCTTGAAATTATGAACGTTTTCTGAATTGATATATTCCTTCTTTTATGATATGTCTAAAGTGTAAACTATTGCAGTGGGATGAGGATGAACCGGGAGCCTTGTGTGAATTGGATGTAAGATCTTTATATATTTAAGGATATATTTTTTTTAAATTCCTGTTTGTAGAGACTGACTACGGTTCCCTGTATAAGGTCTGGTGTATTTTACATGTATAAATAAGGATTAATATTACAATATATATTATATATATATATATATATAAATATATATATATATACAGTGTCCCTATCATTTTACGGTTGTATGATCCTTGTCAATATCTGAATGTCAGGTCATTGTCTATGTCTGATGGTAAGGTCATTGTCTATGTCTCATGGTAAGGTCATTGTCTATGTCTCATTGTAAGGTCATTGTCTATGTCTCATGGTAAGGTCAATGTCTATGTCTCATGGTAAGGTCATTGTCTATGTCTCATGGTAAGGTCATTGTCTATGTCTCATGGTAAGGTCATTGTCTATGTCTCATGGTAAGGTCATTGTCTATGTCTCATTGTAAGGTCATTGTCTATGTCTCATGGTAAGGTCAATGTCTATGTCTCATGGTAAGGTCATTGTCTATGAGTAATGGAAATATTCTCTCGAGCAAGTAACTTAATTAATACGTTTAAAACAACTCAACAATGAATGTAGACAAGGTCTAGACATAAACTTTTTCCCTGATATACTCTATAGAAGGGCAAAAAAAAAAAAAAAAAAAAAAAAAAACCCAGCTGCACACTATTCAGAGGCGAAGGAGGGGGATGTGGAGGGGTGGTCGGCCCCAGGCGGCACATTTCCTTATATTGAGGGCGGTATTTTCTATTAAACACAGACTTTTTTTTTCTTCGTGGAAAAAGAGGAGGGGGGGGCGGGATTAATCCTTAATACTACGCCACTGACAATATTGCATCCTCAATCATGCAGTAATTTAGCAGTTTTAGCTCGGGGGCATGTAGACTTCAGTCTGGCTTCAGTTCCGATACCGTCTACAGTCAGTGTGTTTTCATCAATCAACCATCAGTCACAATGTCCTGTATCGTGAGAGCAGGGTGCCCCCCCCCCCACACGCACACACACACATTACAGCTAAATGAAACCAATTAAAAACTTGTCAGATACATTTTGAATATTAAGACCATTTTTTTCCCATTCCCCTTACTCATTTCTTCAACAGCCCAAAGTTCGGTGGCAACGTTGCCAGATTGGATTTTTGCAAAATTTATGTTGTGTTTGTTAAGTTCTGGAGTCCAGATGATGTCATCGCGACTTAACATTTGATGATGACGATGAAATCATGTGATAGCTTCGGTAGTCGGAAATGGGGGGGGGAGGGGGAAGAGAGATGGGTGTTGGGAGGAGGTGGGAGGGGGTCCGGCAAACAGCGTTCTTTTTGGTAAGAGATGAGGATGTTTACTTCATTTTTGTTTTCTTAACACTGTACGTTTATCTGGGTTGTTGTTTTTTTTGTAAGTAGTCGTGACCCCCACCCATCACCCCCTCTTTAAATCTGAGTTCATTCAAAATCTTCAATACGTTATATGTTACACCAAAGTCCGTCTTGAACATCGGGATGTTTTATGTTACACCAAGGTCCATCTTAAGCATCCGGATGTTCATTGCTACACCAAGGTCCATCTTGAACATCTTGATGTTATAAGTTACACCAAGGTCGATCCTGAACATAATGATGTTATAAGTTACACCAAGGTCGATCCTGAACATAATGATGTTATAAGTTACACCAAGGTCGATCCTGAACATCTGGATGTTATTGATGTTTGTTGGGGTAATTTAAAAAAAACAACACTACAATAAGAGGAAACAGAGTTGGCAACACGGCTCCGTGAAACATACAACCGGTTATTGGGACGGCGAATAACGTGATTATTCGAAATCTGGTCCAACTGTGTTACATATATAATTTTCGTTTTTGTAAGAGGTCTCTACGGGGTTCTTGGTAAATGTCTGCGATAGGAGTCACACGAAAACCAAGGATAGAGTCCGTAGCCCGAGGTGGTCAGTCATTCCGGTCAAGCGAAAAGGTCAGGTCGATAGATAATGTTCTTCAGTCCAGCTGCCGTCATTCCTCTCACGGGCCCAGTTAGTCCGCATGTGTGCGATTTCGGCATGTTTTCAGTGACACACATAACACCAGCTTAGGCAGGTTATGTGACGTGTCGGTTTACATTTCAGTATCCATAAAATACACACGCATTAAAAAAATCTGTTACATATTTGGGTCATTACAAAACACGCATTTGTGTAAGGGTAAAAAAAAAACAAAAAACAATGCAAGCAACCAGAGAGGTAAGCTTGGTGGTAATAATCATGGTGGTAATAATCATGGTTTGGTTACTTTAACGCTGTATGTAACACTACTCCTCTCGTGTTATTTTTAACTAATATATATATATATATATATATATATATATATATATATATATAACCAGTGTCACAGCTGTGGCCGTATTACCGTCCAATACTGCTTAATTATTACTATGATGAGCTGCTATGAAAGCACGAGACAAATCCGGATGTCTTCAATCCCCTTATAACTTTTATTTACGTTGACATGAAGGTATAAAATAAGGTATCCAATAGAATAAACCTAATGCTTCATAATACAAAAGAGATGAACGATATTTGTTCCGATTCAAATGTAATGTAACTTCAAACGACGCCAGAACAAAATACACAATTTCGTCTTCACGGTCCGAAACTCAGCGGGCCATATCAATAATAATAATAATAATAACTAGATATAGCCCGCTGAGTTTCGGACGAAAAATTATAATAATAATAATAATAACTAATTATCAACATTTTTTATGTTAAGTAGTCTGAGTCACTGTATTTTTCTTTGCAAAGAACTTATAGTGGAAATGTTATGGTGGTATTTCTCGGGGTGATATACCTTGTTGCGTTTTTGCTGTTGGAAATTTTTCGTTTTTTTGAAACATTATTTTGCGAACTTCACTTTTTTCAAAAGTTTTTACACATTTTATTTGAAATCGATTACAGTTTTATCAAGCCGACCGAGGTAGCATTAAAATTTCACCCACCGCTTTGACATGGGTCATTCGATAGCAGTCGTGGCACACGGGAAAAGAACTTCTAAAACATTTCACTTAAGAAAGTTGATAAAACCAAATTACTTATAGACTTGATTTGAATCTGGCCCTGAAAAAACAAAAATTGCACCTGACAACAGCTAGGGTAAAATAAAAAATATCTGGAATTCAATGGTTTTTAAAGATGTTTTTAAAAAGAAAAAAAAAAAAAGGTTACACTATGGCTTTGCAATAGGGTTTGTCATTTCTCGGACCAGAAAACGTCACAGCGTTACTATTTTTAGAGCGTCGGACAAATATTGCTTGAAAGATTTGCAGCTAATAGTGTGCTTCAGATTATCGTTTGGACGACCCTTGGTATCTAGAGTCCATGTTACATGTGCCAGAATAGCGGTAACGACAAACAAAAAATTAAAAAGTTGTCAAATATTTCGTAAAATAAGAGTTGTAAACAAGTTTTCAATTTATGTTCAGGGACAATTCGCTAACATGGTAGTACTGAACAGTGTTGACTGGACATCTATGTCCGACCCCGAGTACCTGGATGATTACAGCAGTTCTAATAATAGATTTCCGCCATTAAATACCAAGCTCTATGGAATTCAACTGAAGACCCCCCCCCCCGACCTAGCCGCACCCTCTACCCGCTCACCCCACAGACATTCCAACCCCCCAACCAAAAACCCCGCCAAGGGACCACACTTTCCCCCTTTCCCCCCCCAAAAAAACAACAACAAAAAAAAAAAAAAACAGCTCTCACGCTCCATCACGCTCACCTCATGGATCTACTTCTTTCCTCGAACATCCACCCCACCCCCAACCCCCGTTTCCCTCTTGCCCCATCACTTTGCTTGATCAGTTCCGAGAAATGCTCCATTTTTGCTTGAGTAAAAATTGCTTGATGTTCCTTATTTTGTCGCAATACGTGAGATGCTTTCCGCACGACTCGCTCGCCCCTTGCGTGTCGGATCAGCTTTTACCGTTCCCGCGTTTGGTATCGGATTAAGCTCATCGTATTCGCTTTGGTGCGATATCTTTCCATGGTATCGGATTCAGCTCGGTATTAAACTTGCCCCGCACATCGTATTCGCTTTGGTGCGAGATCTTTCCATGGTATCGGATTCAGCTCGGTATTAAACTTGCCCCGCACATCGTATTCGCTTTGGTGCGAGATCTTTCCATGGTATCGGATTCAGCTCGGTATTAAACCAGCCCGCACATCGTATTCGCTTTGGTTCGAGATCTTTCCATGGTATCGGATTCAGGTCGGTATTAGACCAGCCCGCACATCGTATTCGCTTTGATACGAGATCTTTCCGTGGTATCGGATTCAGCTCGGTATTAAACAAGCCCGCACATCGTATTCGCTTTGGTGCGAGATCTTTCCATGGTATCGGATTCATCTCGGTATTTAACTAGCCCGCACATCGTATTCGCTTTGGTGCGAGATCTTTCCATGGTATCGGATTCAGCTCGGTATTAAACCAGCCCGCACATCGTATTCGCTTTGGTGCGAGATCTTTCCATGGTATCGGATTCAGCTCGGTGCTAAACCAGCCCGAATGACAGCCGGTGAAGCTTAACTCAGAAACGTTCTAACTCACTTCGGGAGATAACTCCAATATTTAGGGTATACAACTCAAGCTCCGCAAAAAAAACAAAAAACATATAGATAAAAGAGTCCTTCTTTGTTCGGCCTGATGAGTAAATAATTCTTTTTTTTTCTCTCTTCTTCAAAATAAACAATAATTCATGTCAAAATAAATATTTCAAAAACAATCAAAGGCAAATAAATTAATCTATTTTATATATATTTGGAACAAATCATCCCGTTTGAATTTATTTAATAGAATATCTGCCCAAGTTAGTTGTAAACAAGCCACAAATACATTTGATCAGATGTACTTTTGATGCAAGAATTATATCTTTGAATGTGGCTACCTTCTGAACGATGAAATGTCATTTTAATATAAATCACGATATGTCTCTTAGATTCTTTAATATTTCTGCGTGACTAATCTAAGGACTGGAAACTTTCATGTAGCAATATTCTTTTTGCAATTATAATTTTTTGTTGTTGTTGTTTTAAAATGGCCCCTGAAAAAAAAAAGTAGACTCAGAACCTATGAGATCGTGCTCCACATTCCCTCCACCTTTCCGAGAGATGGTGAATCACAAACTCTGAGTACAGATTAAATTTTTTAACAAATCTTCGCATTGACAGAACTTTTTCTTTTTTTTTCAATTTAAAAAAAAAAAAAATGTTATTCTATATTTTCAATTTTTTTTTAAATTAAAAAAAAAAAATATATATATATATAGAGATATATATATATTTTTTTTAAATTTCAACACAGATAATGAGTTTGACTTTTAACATCATTCTTTTATTATTATTATTATTATTTTAATCTTCTTTTGTTTTATTGACAACACGCTCTCCCCGCCGAATCGAGATAAATTGTTGTCACGCCATTGACGCTTGACAAATGTTCGTCGTGATCTTCAATCGTACGACCTGGTAGTTCAGTCGTGATGCACTACAGAAATAGCTCCTAATCATCTTATCATTTAACTATCCTTTCAATTTTTTAAAATGTTTTGTTGTTGGTTGGGGAGGTGGGGGGATTTGCTGAGCAAAGAAGCTCTCAAAATCTGAACAGCTCCAGTGCCCATAAATGGTTGAAACAATAGATTCTACGACTGTCTACGATTTTTTTTTATTACCGATACAGATCTGTGATATGACATTATCACCATGGTGACCGCGACGCCGACCTCCTCGGCTGTTCTGGCAGCCATCGCGGCCGTTCACGATGGTTTCAACGCCAGCAGTGGCCCACGTCTCAACAACGACAGCTACGGCAACGGGAGCAGCGTGACCGCCGCCGACATCAGCAGCAGCAGCAGCAGCAGCAGCAGCAACACCAACAACAACAACGTTGACAGCATGTTGGAGCTTCAGTTCGACAGGTGAGCAACACATTTCAAAAACTTTTCACACACGGTTCATCAATATTAAACCCTTATTGTAAGATGAGCCCTGGCAATATATCGCCCGGGAGATCTCTATTGCAGGGACATAGGACTTATTTGTGATTCCAAAGTCAGTTATAAAATTTAAAAAAAAAATGAAAATGTGTGTCAGGTGGGGGGCCAAAATTTTTTTCAGTAGGTTTTGTTTGTTTTGTAGAAGTCATTTAAATTTAAAGTGAACAAACTATTTAAGATAAGATGAGATTCTTTATTGATCCACATGAATTGAACTGTTGTAAATATTTATTTTCAGCACATATCAATTCATATTTTTAAGCAAAACAGCAGTTTAAAATTAAAACAATTTAAACACAAGACATCTAAAGAATTTCTCGAGCGTGGGATTAAGCCACCAGTAAACTCCCTTTAGTGACAATAATGACGTACTTAGTTATCATTTAGATTTGGGTAATCGAAATAAGAGACAATGTAATCATGCTGATGTTGTCAGATATGAGATACAATCTAAGACGTCATGATATAAATAATAAAGGCATATCGTATGACATTAACGCCATGGCAACCATGACGCCGACCTCGGCTGTTCCGGTAGCCCAATCATCTGCCGCTCAACATGGTTTCAACGCCAGCAGCGGCCCGCTCTCAACGACAGCCAGACGTCTACGGGAGCAGCAGGAACGTCGCCGAGTCGTCCCATAATATCTGACGCTGTCCATGTTTAACCATACCCCAGATCTTTTAAATAATCAACAATCGTCATCATAGACTCTGTACCCTTAAAAACTCTATGGTCCAACACTTAGCGTGTCTAACAAAGACACAATTCCAACTTTTAGCAAAGAAAAATCTAACATTACACTTTTTTTCTTTAAAAAAAATCATTCAGAATTAACGCAAAACTTTTATGTATGTTTGTATTTATATATCTCTACAACAGATGGGAAATCAACTCAACAGTGGAGAGTGTATTGGTGCCAATCCTGTTCGCCATAATTTTTGTGGTCGGCCTGGTAGGAAACGGGACCCTGATCCTCTCAGTCATAGCCAACAAGGTAAGTGTATCCATGTGTCAAACTGCCGTATCCAGAAATTTGATCAAACAAATTGTCGTCGACGGAAAATTGATCAACGGAAATTTGATCGAACGGAAGTTTGGTCGAATCTTTTTTTTTTCTTTTTCAGGTCACACGTTAAAATTGTGCGTCAAATTTGTTTTTAACGCATTATTTTGTTTTAATGTATAGTATAATGCGTCCAAATCTACCCTCCCCAAAGCATCCTTTACCCAAGGCTCCCCCTCCCCAAAGCCCACCTTCCAAAAGCATTCATCCCCAAAGCATCCCTGAATGAACGGGCCTCGGAGCGGCACGCTGGAGAAGTTCTCCCTTTTGCTGATGTTGCACATTTCACGTACTCGCTCCAAATATTCATTTAATTAATTAAGAGTAATCTTTCTGAAACGAGACACTTGAATTAACTTCATGAGAATGCTGGGAATTTTAATAAGGAAACGGGATATCGTGTTCTTTATCTTTCTGACGGAAACACATAACTCTGAGAGGTTGTTTTTTTTCTTCAGATTGAGCATCCTCAGTTTGCTCCCTGTATTTTAAATGACCTTTAGGGTATTTTCCATGGCAACGCCTGAAGTATTTTCGTCAAGGATACCCGTTCTGACATTTTCAAGTTGAGTACAGAAGTCTTGAGGGCCCTTGGCTTCCACGCGCATCGCTCGCTGTTTTCGTAGGGGGAAAACTTCTTCGAAAATTATGGTATCGGCCGTGAATATTTTCTTAAAATCAATGCGAAAATTCAGCCATTTGGCGTAAACGATTATATCAGATTGGATAACTTACCCGCGTTTTCAATTATAGATGTCGGTGTTATCAATAAAGACGTGATTGAGGGATGGTTAAAGGAGATAATTTAACGGCTCCGGAAGCTATGTGATTGAGACTTTTGAGGGGGGGGGGAGGAGGGCGATAATAATGGGTCTACCAGGTGGGCAGAGGCTTAATTGGACGAATGGTTGACGCAGGCCGGAAACTAGGCCATGCATGTGTGGGTGGTTGTATTATACTGGACTAGTCCCAGTCCCAGTCCCAGACGGTGGCCTGAAAATGGGATATGTATGTGTGGGTGGTCATATTATATTGGACTAGTCCCAGAAAATGGCCTGAAAATGGGACAACGTTGAAAAGATTTACACGCTTTTAGGCAGGAGGACAAAATAAACAGGTGTAATAAGGAGGAGATAACCTAGTTTATAATACCTTTTTTTTCCCCCAACTTACAGCATCATGTATGAAAGTAATAATCTTAATCTATCATCATAAATGTGTTTATGTCTCCCTAGGTAATGTGCAACATTCCCAACATCCTCATCGTCAGCCTCTCCCTGGGAGACTTCCTGCTGATCCTCATCTCCGTGCCCGTGACGTCCATCTACTACACGTTCGTCAACTGGCCGTTCGGCTCAGCCGTGTGCAAGATCAACGAGTTCATCCAGACGGTGTCGCTGGGCGTGTCCGTGTTCACGCTGACCGCCCTCAGCGCCGACCGCTACGTGGCCATCGTCAACCCCATGGCGAAGCTCACCGGGCGCACGCTGAGGACCACCATCGCGACGGTCGTCGGCATCTGGGTCCTGTCCCTGCTGCTGGCGATACCCGACGCGGTGTTCAGCAAGGAGCAGACCTTCAACGTGACCAACCATTCGATCGTGAAGATCTGCAGCCAGTTCGACCACAGCGAGATGTCTTCGTACCCGAAGACCTACATCACCATCCGACTCTTCGTGTACTTCATCCTCCCGCTGTTGACAATCGGGCTCTTCTACAGCATGATGGCAAGGATTCTCATCCGGAGCAGCGACAGCGTCCCCGTCGACTCCAAAACGGGCGCGGCCACCCACCACAGGCAGATCGCCGCGCGGAAGAAGGTCGCGCGCGTCGTGCTGAGCTTTGTCATCATCTTCATGATATGCTGGCTGCCGAGGCACATTTTCCTGATGTGGCTCTTCTACGACGTGGGCTCCCAGTTCAACGATTTCTGGCACGTCTTTAAGATTGGCGGCTTCTGCCTCACGTTCATCAACTCCTGCGTCAACCCGTTCGCTCTGTACTTTCTCAGCGGCCAGTTCCGGAAGTACTACAACCGCTACCTGTTCTGCTGCTGCCGGCGCGTCCGGTACACCAGCCTCGAGCCCACGTCCACCATGCACAACCTCCACAGCACGACCAGGCGGGTCAGCGCCACCAACACGTCCATCGTCCACTCGCAGTCCATGTGTTGACTAAGAAACTGGCTCCCGCGACGGGGCAGACACCGGAGGCGTGGGGTCAAAGGTCATACGGTCACGGATATTTTCACCGAAAAAAACATTTTCGTCATGAAAAAAATTCCCATAGCTATCGACCTTTGATTTTTTCGCCCGGACGCATGAATACAAAAAGTGTTCACCCCCAGCTTTCTACCACGATACTTGAACTGTTGAAATCCGAATCATATATTTTCGACACCAAAACGTTCCCAGGTATTGAAAATGATTGGGGTTTAAGCTGAAGATGTTTCAAAAAGACTTATAATCCTTGAAGAATAATCCCAGGCCATGTGGAGTTCGTCCTCCGAAGCCCACTCCATCGTCACACTGTGACGGACGGTTGCCAGCAAAAAAAAAAAAAAAAAAATTCAAAAAGACACGGAACAAGGATCCTGTCACAGTTGACAGTCTCAAGGCAGAACTCATCACAAACTAAGAATTAAGAAGGCTGTTTGAAATGTCAATATTGAGGGTTTAAGCTGAAAATGTTTCAAAAAGACTTATAATCCTTGAAGAATAATCCCAGGCCATGTGGAGTTCGTCCTCCGAAGCCCACTCCATCGTCACACTGTGACGGACGGTTGCCAGCAAAAAAAAAAAAAAAATTCAAAAAGACACGGAACAAGGATCCTGTCACAGTTGACAGTCTCAAGGCAGAACTCATCACAAACTAAGAATTAAGAAGGCTGTTTGAAATGTCAATATTGGACAGCCTGTGAAATGTCAATGTCGCAAAGCCTTTCCCTTGCCCGTTTAAGCGTATGTACAACATGAACATGAAAGTGCGTACTAAAAAGTATTAAACGCCATCATCGTAAGTACACATCTCTGTGTGAGTGCATCCGTGTGAGTACATCTTTGTGAGTACTTCCCTGTCATGCCAACTTGATTTCAATACGAATGTGTTCTCTTTTAAGGATAAACAAGTGCAAGCAAAACAGCTTTAAACAACAACAAAAAAAATAAAATAAATAAAACTTCAACCGCAAACTGCGAGCATACCTCTCCAACTCCAGTGCTCAACTGGGCACCCCGATGGCACTTGATGGCACCTCATGGCACTTAAAAACGTTGAATGGACATCAACCTGTCAATTACATTTATCCCAAGACAAAAGTCAAAACGAGCCAACCGGAAATGTATAAAATGCATTTTTTTTTTTCCATCAAACCTCGGACGTCAACATTGTCAATTAGTGGCGCGTTTTGTCTATCCGTTTTTTTTGGTTTTGTTTTGTTTGTTTCTTCTGTGGCCTGGCGTAGGCTCGGATTAATGCAAGGCGAATGGTTTTATTATTCGTAACAATGTAGTTATCACTCAAATCATTGTTGGAATACAATGTGGTGTTTTCACTGCTGGACACGTCAAAGAATCTGTTTTTGTGACCTCGTATAGGAGAGTTTTGGGAAAAAAATCATCTCTCGTTACAGGCCATCCCTGACAACATTTTTAATGTCTGTAGAAGGAAAAAATATATATATATATATTTTGAATGACTTGAGTGGTAAAAGACACAATATTTGTCCAAGAGTGACCTTGTTTTTGACTGTCTAGTGAAATACATTCTAACATCGGGGAGGAGGTCAGAATATTAACACCGACACGGCAGTGCCATTGTTTATTTTTTTGTAGTATCACCACCAGTTTCATACACACGTCCTCTTTGGGGATTACTCATTCACTGAAGAAGTATTAAGCCGGGTGTATATAGGTCAGAATGTGTGTTGTGGTCTTTTTTTTTTTTTTGGGGTGTTGACAATAATGTGTCTTTGGGTCAAGAGGTTGCGACAGACGATGTCACAATTCAAGAAGGCTATTTGGGGACTCTCTAACCTAGATCCTGAACGATTAATATTTGATTTTGGAAAGATGGGATGGAAAATGAATTGTTTCCCCCAAAATCCATATCTCGTCGGATGGTTCTTCAGTCTTCAAACAAAGACTCTTATGTGGGAGGTAAAGGTTGTTTTTTTTGTTGTTGCGAAAAACCAGAATCTCAGTCTTATGTCTTCATCTGTTATCACGTTCTTTGTGTAAGTAAGAGTTTCTTTCTCGTACATGAATCAAGGAGTTTGTATATACATGTCGATACAAATGTTTACTTATGCATAGCTATATAGATTTCGCATATGCGCGTATTATAAGCTCGGTGATTTCAGTGCATCAGATAATAAAGGTGCATTGCTGAATTCAGTAATTCAGATCATGAAGGTGCATTGCCGAGTTGAGGGTTTCATATTATAAAAAAGATGTATTGCTTCCTTAGATGGCGTTTGATACCTATGAGTACTTTTGTCATCGTCCACAACGTGACGATGGTATAGACTTCACAATGTGACGATGGTGTAGATGTCACAATGAAAAAAAAAAAGAAGCAGTTTTTGTTTCAAGCCATGGTGTAGACGTCACAATGGGACGATGGTGTAGATCTCACAATGGGTCGATGGTGTAGACTTCACAATTTGACGATGGTGTAGACTTTACAATGGGACGATGATGTAGACGTCACAATGGGACGATGGTGTAGATCTCACAATGTGACGCTGGTGTAGACTTCACAATGGGACGATGATGTACACGTCACAATGGGACGATGGTGTAGACGTCACAATGGGACGATGGCGTAGACTTCACAAGGCCTGTAACATGTCTTGGGTTGGATAAGCTGGATCCGTAGACAGCAAATCACATCTCTCTACGCATCGGGGGGTGGGGGGTGGACGCTGCCCGGGGGGGGGGTTTGAAGGGGAGGTAGAGGTGGAATCATTCATACATATAAGGCTCGACATCAGGAGCGTTGCCGGATTTTATAATTTTCATATTGAGCTCATGTCATAGCGTCTACGGGTCTCCACCTCCAGGTTTGAATTCAGAATTTACCTTATACAAGTTGCCATCCAAATTGAACGAGTACATAAGTTTGTTTTTTTGGCGTTGTTGTTTTTGTTGTAGTTTTTTTCACTTGATGTTTCATGATAAGGTTTTCCTGGAAATTGAAATCTAATCCCAAAACTGGAGTTGACCTAGTTTAGAAGACCAAATCCATCCAGCCATAGCACATGAGTGTATATTTAAATATGCGTGTAAAAGAACATTTGCAGGGTGCAACCAGTCTTGACATTTGATATGGTTTGATTTAACAGGCGTCCACAACGATTGCAAGAATAGACAGAGCCCACCTCCAATCGCTCATCATGGTCGGTGTTGATGTTTTAGCCAAGCGACCAAGACGAAGCGAGAGATATTTCTATTTCATGGAGGGAACACATCGCTTTGAGTTTTTTTTTTTTTAGAGCGTTCATTAAAAACATGTGACCTTTTCAGAGCGTTCATTTAAACATGTGACCATTTTAGAGCGTTCATTTAAACATGTGACCATTTTAGAGCGTTCATATAAACATGTGACCATTTTAGAGCGTTCATTTAAACATGTGACCATTTTAGAGCGTTCATATAAACATGTGACCTTTTCGGGCGTTCATTTAAACATGTGACGTTTTCGGGGTTTCATTCAAACATGTGAACTTTTAGAGCTTTCATTCAAACATGTGACCTTTTAGAGCGTTCATTCAAACATGTGACATTTCAGAGCATTCATCCAAACATGTGACCCTTAGAGCGTTCATTCAAACATGTGAACTTTTAGAGCCTTCATTCAAACATGTAACCTTTTAGAGCCTTCATTGAAACATGTGAACATACCAGAAACAAAAGCTAACATCATCTCACTCTGGAAAGCGCTTTTCATTATCCCCGCTTGCCCCCCCCCCTCCCCTCCTCTTCCTCACCCCCCGAAACTCTACGTATAATTCCTTAAAATATTGCGGCACACCGTCCAAATCAAACATGGAACCTTTTAGAGCCTTCATTGAAACATGTGAACATACCAGAAACAAAAGCTAACATCATCCCACTCTGGAAAGCGCTTTTCATTATCCCCGCTTGCCCCCCCCCCTCCCCTCCTCTTCCTCACCCCCCGAAACTCTACGTATAATTCCTTAAAATATTGCGGCACACCGTCCAAGTTTTTAAGAGAACAACCCGGTGGTTCAAGAAAACAATCCCATGGCAACTTTTTGTTCTGGGCGGTAAAAAAAAAAAAGAAGCAGTTTTTGTTTCAAGCCATTTGTATAGTTACATTGTAAACAAAATGTTCACAATTCTCTTGGCAACATGTGAACGCTTCTGTCCACAATACTGCTGAGCGATTGGTTCTTCAAACTGCTTGTCGTCTCTCTGATTGGTTGTTTCTGAAGAGTACTTTGCAAGGTTTTATTATTGGCATGTAGAGCCTTGATTTTTTATTTTAATTTTTTTTTTTCATTCTTTGTAATAAAGTATTTTAACAGACAATGCTCTAGAGCCGAGGTTATCATCCTGTGGGTCGTGATGGCTTTGGTTGGGGGTGGGGGGGGGGTCGAACGAGCCTAACAAAAAGGGGGGCGCGTAAGACCATCGGAAGAAAAACGTATTTATGAAGTAGCAACGATAATAATTTTATGGTTGGGTTACTCACCACAACATGAGAAACTGTATCAAAGGGTCACGGCATTAGGAAGGTTGAAAAACCACTGCTCTAAAGGTTTTATTTGAAACTGAATTAGCTGATTTTGTATTAGGAATGTTAAAACTATGGTAACGTAAAAATTTGCATTTTCATTTTTTTTTTTTNCAATACTGCTGAGCGATTGGTTCTTCAAACTGCTTGTCGTCTCTCTGATTGGTTGTTTCTGAAGAGTACTTTGCAAGGTTTTATTATTGGCATGTAGAGCCTTGATTTTTTATTTTAATTTTTTTTTTTCATTCTTTGTAATAAAGTATTTTAACAGACAATGCTCTAGAGCCGAGGTTATCATCCTGTGGGTCGTGATGGCTTTGGTTGGGGGTGGGGGGGGGGGTCGAACGAGCCTAACACAAAGGGGGTCGCGTAAGACCATCGGAAGAAAAACGTATTTATGAAGTAGCAACGATAATAATTTTATGGTTGGGTTACTCACCACAACATGAGAAACTGTATCAAAGGGTCACGGCATTAGGAAGGTTGAAAAACCACTGCTCTAAAGGTTTTATTTGAAACTGAATTAGCTGATTTTGTATTAGGAATGTTAAAACTATGGTAACGTAAAAATTTGCATTTTCATTTTTTTTTTTTTAAATAATAATTTTTGACCTGGTCGTTCAGAAAGATTGTCTTCATACATATTAGAAAATTCACTTGTGGCAAATAAATTATGATATTTGCTGAACATTGAGTTTGCATCTATTACCGCAACATAGTGACGGCCTGTTTTTATAATCTCTGTTATCTGGTCTGGACTTTTTACCGGATCTCTCTATTCCCTCAAAA